AGGAGGGGAAAAGAGAATCCCACTCCTTGTAACAACAAGCCCCACTCAGAGGGCAGAAAAACCCAGGCAGGGTCCAGCAGGGCCCAAGGCCCCCAAGTCAGCCTCTCCCCAGCCCCAGGATCCTAGGACCCGGAGCCGAGTCATCCCCCAAAGCACCGGCCCCCTAAAGAAAAGGCCGGCGCAGCCGAGTAAGCCGGACAGAAGGGAAGGGCCACTGATCAGACCCAGAGGCTTCGGCAGGAAGATCGGACTCGAATGCCTCTGTCACTACATTGGAAGGGGGCATCCCCCGAGACTGCCCGAGTCTCAAGACCATCTAAACCCTGCAGGCGATGAGTCACAATAACGTGGCTGAAGTATGTTGACCAGACCACACACTAGAAATTGAAGGGACGACGACGTTTCGGTCCGTCCTGGACCATTCTCAAGTCGATTCTCAAGTCGACCATTCTCACAATCGACTTGAGAATGGTCCAGGACGGACCGAAACGTCGTCGTCCCTTCAATTTCTAGTGTGTGGTCTGGTCAACATCTAAACCCTGCCCTGACTTCGAAACCCTCAGACGTTTCAGGGCCGGAAGCAGGAGAAGGGGGAAGACCAGAGCGAACCACAACAGGGAAAGAACGCGGGGGCGCGGACTGAGCCAAGGTCGAAGCAACCCCCACCCCCAAGTCCAGGTCCCTATAGGCAAAACGGGGCAGCCTCGGGGCATCTGGGTGAGCAACCAACTTAGCACGTTGCAACAACCTAAAGTGCACATGTAACGCATGCGCCGCCTGTACCTGGAGAACAGCATCATCAGATTGGGTAAACTAAGTCACCAACAAGCAACAATACTCGCAGGACTCCGGGTCAAAAGTGTCACCGATCCAACAGGCAGCGTGACGGAGGTAAAAACTGTGAGGGGTCACCCTGAGACAAGGGGACCGAGCAACCCTTGAACTCGCACGAAGCGAGGGGGGGGGGGGACTCTGGGAACACATCCGTCGGACCCACGTGCCCTCTTAGGGGTTTCCCAGGGTCCTGAGACGGAACTCACGCTCAGGGAATCCCAGGCAGGGTACTGCTAACCGGCGCCCGAAACTACCAAGCAACTTTCTAAAGCTGAACCTCAGGAATGTGTACACTCACAGGGACCTAGCAGGGGGCACCACCAGAAAGAACCGTGCACAGGTCAGGCACAAAGGGGTAAGCAAGGCAGACCCCCACACAAGGCAAAAAGAAAAACAAAACCCCGCAAGAGGACATGTGCAGTACCCTGTGCCCCGCACCAGTGCAAACTGCCTCTTACCCTAAGGTAACCAAGGAAAACAAAACCCTCAAGCACCCAAAGGGCAGCCAAACAACCGAGCAATAAGATGGCCTAGCAGAGGCAGGCCCCAAGGAACTTGTGGAAGGTGGCTCCAAGGGCAGTACTTACTGGGCACCTAGGGACGAGAACCCTAGGTGCATGCAGCCCGAGTACAGTAGAATAACTCCTGGCTCTCGCAACACTGGAAGACAGCCACCACACTAAGCACAGTGCTGGAATCTCTAGAGCCAAGCACATGACCTCTGCCTTTAGCATCAGCCTGAGAAATGAAGGGTGGATAGCCGGCGTGAGGGGTCTGAGGCTCCCCCTTCCCCCTCCCAGGGAGGGGGGAGCTGCGCAGACAGCAGTGCGGCGACATGTGACATCATGGTCGTTTGCTCATCTCTTTTAGGGGAGTTCTATCCACTTGTTCAGCTTTTGGTAGCAACATTTTCACCAGAATAGGAGTTTGTTTTGGGATGCTTACCTTTCTGGGTGCCTGACCCTGTCGATGGCAGACATAGAATGCTTCCAACCACACGGGGGTTTCAATAGGCCATTGTTCCCCATGCCTCTCTGAGGGGGCCAGGTTCTGGCTCGTGGTCCTCGGTAGGCCCACAGAACTCCATATACATGACTGATGTGAAAGTCTGACATTAGCATATCAGTCTAGTAAACTCCGGTGAGCCGAAGGGGCTACTCCCCAGAAAACACCACAAACAACCTGAGGCCAGAAAGTCACGGCTGACGCGATTATGCAAGCTATGCTGACATTGTGCACCCTAACCAGCAACAAAAACATTCCCTACCCAGGGCCAGACAGAGCCCACGACCCCCGCTGAACCCCAAGGGCAAGGTTAATGACAAGCGCACCAACCTCAACAGGAGTGAAATCCCGAACGTCCCAGGGAAGAAAACCCTGAACACGTAAGGGGCAGTACCTACTGAGCGCTTAGGGAAGGTAGCCCTAGATGCATGCAACTTGAGTACTCTAGAATACTTGGCCTGCGCACCACCCCACACAGCTGGCACAACCACACAGGATAATGAGGCCAGAGATAATGTCTTCTGTACAACATCAGTCAAAGAACTGCTGGTGTCAGTGCTTGGGTCACCTGGGTGGGGGCCCCCCTCCTCCCTCCCAGGAAAGGGGGGGTCACTAACGAGCGGGCGTGCTAGTTGATTAGACATTTGTTTGTTTGTTGTTTCCTCTTGAGGGGAGTTCTTGGGTGCTGTTTGGTCTTGGGTTGCAATGTTTTACCAGAAGGGGTTTGTAATGGTAATGGTTCTCCTACCTTTCTGGGTGATACTCCCAGTCAATGGCAGACATGACTACTCTCGCAAAGTGGAGTGTTCATAAGCCATTGCTCCCTGCGCCTCTCTGAGGAAACAGGTTCTGGCTCATGGTTCCCGGGAGGCAAAGAACTCCAATTAACTGATGCTCTGGACTAATATAGCGGATATCAGTCCATTAGCTTCAGGGAGCCGAATGGGGCTCTCCTCAGAAATGGCAGGAGTGCTACACAGGACGCCTCGGCTTTTACAAGTTCAGTAACATGATAAGTCTACATGTCAAGCATGCATGACTAATACTAAGTAGTCATGATTACTTTGTGTCATTGTAACCTATCCCTGCACTTAACCTACATGTAGTTCATTTCAAGAGTCAGATCTGTCTTGTTACAACTTGATCTAAAAGACTGCTGCTTGAAGTGGTTCATGTGCCCAAATATTTATTACAATCTTGGCTTATTCAGCACTTCCTACAGGAACTTGTCCCTTTTGGCCTTCATTTTACCATTATAATTGGTAGTGGTAAATATCTTGGGTTCAGTTACTTATCAGCCACACAAAATTAACCTATGAGCACTTGATGGAATGTAAACTTGCCCCTCCATATTCTAACTGCATTGTTCTGTACAGTCATTCATCTCCTGGTTGAATGTCCTGATTCTCAAGATAATCAAAACGTTTGTTTTTCCTGTTCACATACACTATGTCTCCTGATAAAAATTCTCGGTGAATTTGACCCTGTTCACATACTCTGTTTAGTATAATAATACTAAAGTACTACCACTACTACTACTACTACTACTAATAATAATAATAATAATATTCACATAGAAATCACATTAATGTGATTTTATATATCAATGAGAAAATCGACTAGGGCTGTGAGGTGCGAGTGAACCTACGACCCGGATTGCCAAGCCGCATACTAGACCACTGAAACTTGTTAAAGTCATACAACCGGATTTCTACTGAAATCACAGGAAGTCTGGAGGCTCCTACTAAAGCCAGTCCAATTTTTTATGAATGACCCACAAGCACTCGGCTGGAAGTGCTTGTGGAAGGTATAGGATCACACTGCCCTTCCACCCGAGTGCTTGTGAATCATATGTAAAACCTTGCACTGGCTTCAGTACGGGCCTCCAAACTTCCTGTAATTTCAGAAGAAATCAGGTTGTATGACCTTTACAAGTCAGCGGTAGTCTAGTGGTAGAGTATGTGGCGATAATGACTGGGTCATAGGTTCGCGCTCACCTCACACCCCTAGTGGATTTTCTCAATACAGTAATATTATTATTTTATTTTATGAAAATACAGAGGCTCAGATTACATTGGTTTCTTAGTTGATGCCATATGATACATTTTATAAAGCCACTAATTATGCACAACATAATCAGCATAACTTAAGATAACAAATGTATCAAGTTCTACATTTTGGGGGTCCGCTGTTCATCAGAGGTCCACGGTTGTTCAACACCCTCCCAGCGAGCATAAGAAATATTGCCGGAACAACAATGAAGAAGAAGTTTCATCTTGATGTCTACGGAACAACATGGACATCTTCAAGAGGAAACTAGATTGTGTCCTCCAAGGAGTGCCAGACCAACCGGGCTGTGGTGGATATGTGGGCCTGCGGGCCGCTCCAAGCAACAGCCTAGTGGACCAAACTCTCAAGTCAAGCTTAGCCTCGAGCCGGGCTTGGGGAGTAGAAGAACTCCCAGAACCCCATCAACCAGGTATCAACCAGGTTGGGGTAATATTTAGTAATATTTAATACTAAAAATCTGCTCTAGTATTAGGATCCTAAATAATATCTACGAATTTTGAATATTCTATAACAGACACTGCTAAATAGCCATAGTTCCTTAGTTCTTGCTTGTAATAACTACTTTGTCATTGTGACTGAACATTTGACATGTCAATTGTTTAAAATATATATGGCTTTTCTGTTTTAAGTTTGCCTTTCACACTAAGCCATGAGAAAATATTGTGACAATGAGTGGGACTGACCTCCTGTGACTTCCCAGACACTAATGGGTGATGAGTGGATGGATCAAACGTTTACAACTATTGTGAGACTGAAAATGATGTGTCGAGTTTCCCGAGAAGGGTACTTGACATTCTGTCAGTGTAGTAACAATATGGGGCATTCTCTACCTTTTTTCATAGAGGCTGCCTAAAGGGGAAGATTTGACAACATCAACAGCCACCCTTGATCCTTGATTGTTAACTGGATCTAGTTCACCTTGGGTCATTGAGGCTCAGCAATAAATATGACAGTCATGCAATTTAGATATGACTAACAAATTGTGCAAAAATCAAAAGCTTTTAGGCAGGATCTAAAAAAAAAAAAAATTGTATCTTAAATACAAAAACCCATTCTTACAATACTGTACATGAAAATTTACTCAAACTCACATTCTTGCCCACCATCTCAATAGGGTATTGGCTGTACTGCTCGACAAAACAGGCTGCTCTCTCAGTGAACTGCTCTGCCATTTCCTCACTCCACCACTGTGACACATTCCCGTGCTTGTCGTACCGCTTACCTAGAAATGGGCACACAGGTGAGAGGTAGATGGTGGAGGGTTAGGTAGCTATGTTGTCCCTGCTCCTACATCATATACATGTTAACATTTTTGTCCGCTGGGGACAATTTGCATCCATTGATAATCTTCAGGATGTCCGGCGGGGATGCATGTTGTGTACGAAATTAAAATATTTTTTAAAATTCCATTTATTGTTTGATTATTATAAGACTAGTTTTAATATGCGTGCATTTAGATTGTGAACAATTTGATACCAGAATGAACAACGTAGCATTAAAATTGAGGTGAGAAAACTGAACAGAGTATACACATTTTGTCTATAACGCTCACAGGGTGATGCTTGACCAATTTTCGGGTTTGTTGCGAGTTGCATACCGGTCTTTTTGACCTTATATGCATATATCCATTTAAAGAATTCTATTGTTAAACAATTTGATACCAGAATGAACGACGTAGCATGAAAATTGAGATTGGAGAACTGAGGAGAGTATACACATTTTAGTGGTGGTGTGCGAATGGGTGCTCGCTCACAGGTAATGCTCATCTGATTTTCAGGTTTGCTGCGGGGTGGCATGCTGGACTTTTTTACCTTATATGCATATATCCCTGTAGGGATTTCTATTGCGAACAAATTGATACCAAAATGAACAACGTAACATGAGAATTGAGGTGAGAAAACAGAATAGAGTACTGTATACACAATTTAGTGCTGTTGCGCGATCACAGTTTTTTTTTTTTTTTTTTTTTTTTTATATTATTTTTTACCACAGACGTGGCCACACATTTACAATGCTAAGCAGCATATATACATTTTCTTCTGTCCTCCATGGACAGGGTTAGAGAAATGTTAAACATAGAGTTCAGGGGTTTATTGAACACTCAACCACAGAAGGTGATTCGGTGCTTTTAAAATGCTAAGCTAACCTACATACGTAAATACATAGATACACAGATTTACGTATGCCCTACATAAAGTGTTTGATGTGTCTTTTACATAGTGTCATTAATGTACATCTAAAAAGGTGAAATGTAATTCTGATCAGCTTCCATATATTCAAAATATTCCTGCGATCCTGGAAAATATACCTGCGATCACAGGTAACGCTTGGCCAATTTTTGGGGTTTGGTACGGATAGCACATCGGGATTTTGGACCTTATATGCATATATCCCTGTGGGGAATTCTATTGTGAACAATTTGATACCAAAATGAACGATGTACAAGAAAAATTGAGGTGAGAAAACTGAAAAGATTATACACATTTTAGTATGGCTGCCCGCTCACACGAAACGCTTGGGCCACCTTGGGATAGGCTGGGGCACCAACCCGTCCTCTTAAAAAGAACGTCACTTTTGGCTCGTATGCGCACTATGGCCAAATTTGGACGTAATTTGAAATGAAATCCACTCACAAAAGTGACGTTCTGTTCCGTTTTCTATTTGAGTCGTCTCGCCCACGCGCAGAGGTTATAAGAGGACACTTTAAATTAACGTTTTTCATAACGTTTTGAAACTTTATGAGAATTTCCAGCCCACCTAACCTATCAGAGGACCCTTAACTTACTGTTGATGAAAAAAAAAATCCCAAATTTATTTTCATGTTTTTTTCAATTTCAAATTACGTCCAAATTCGGCCATACGGGCAAACGGCCAAAAGCGACGTTCTTTTTAAGAGGACAGGTTGGGGGCACGCACACCGGGAACACGAAAGTGTTAATATGCTTCTGTTACCAATCAATTGTGCAATGTATTTTATTAAATCCTAATAACTTAAGACAAAATACATTCTTTCACCATTCATATAATGTACAGTATATTCTTGTACACAAAACGTGTACAGTATTTTTCTCATGAGGTATCTACTCAATTACATACACTTTACTTTCATTCACACATATGTCTAATACATTGTAGACCTACATTTCCATTGTATCTTTCTCAAGATATAATGGAATCATATCGATCACAATTATTTTACAATTAGCTCGTTATCAAAATTCAAATTCAGTCTCACATTTTAAGGTATTTTGGATAACATCCCTTTCCTTCTCACTTATATTATCACAAGCCTGATTGTCATCATGTGATATGTGAATTGCTGTACAGTTATATTACCCCATATAATAATAGCTATACACTCAAGTCACAATAAACCCCCCACTCTCCAACATACACTTAGGTAATTATGCAAGTTGACACAACAGGTGTAATTACAGGTGTTGACACAAGGGTGAAACCCTTTGTGTCAACACCTGCATCACAGGAGCTCCAGGATATTTCACAAGGAATATTACTGGAAAAACTTGCTGTTAGGACAAAGTAAATGAGATGTATGTCAAGTTTTGTGAAATATATGATAAGGGCACAAAATTTATACCAAAGCAGAGATGCAGAACTAGGAAACAGGATTGGGTTTAACAGATATTGCGAGAGGGCCAGAGACGAAAAGACACAAAAATGGAATCAATATAGGAAGAGACCAAACCCCCAAACATACCATTGATACAAAGATGCGAGAAACAACTACACGGCAGTGAGAAGAGAGGCAGAAAGAAATTTTGAAAAAGGGGATTGTGAACAAATGTAAAACAGAACCAGTTCTATTCTATAAAATCATAAATACAAATTGCAGGTAAAGATAATATTCATAGGTTGAGAATGGGAAACAGATTCACAAAAATGAAAAGGAAATGTGTGAAACATTAAACGAAGTTCCAAAGTGTATTTGTACAAAATGAAATCTTCAAGGAACCAGACAATAAGAATTCCAGAGAACATACAGCACATAGAGGTGTCTAGAGACGAAGTGGAAAAAATGCTCAAGGAGCTAAGAACAAAGCAGTTGGTCTCAGATGGAGTTTCACCATGGGTTCCGAGAGAATGTGCACCGGAGCTCAGTACAGTATTCCACTTCAACTTATTTTTCAGGCATCCTTGTGTACAGGAGTTGTAGCTGATGTGTGGAAAAAGGCTAACATAGTTCCAATCTACAAAAGTGGCAGCAGGGAAGACCCCCCTTAATTATAGACCTGTATCATTGACAAGTGTAATAGTCAAAATATTGGAAAAAATAATTAAAACTAATTGGGTGGAACACCTGAAGAAAAACGATATAATATCAGACAGACAGTATGGTTTTCGATCTGGAAAATCCTGTGTAACGAATTTACTCAGTTTCTATGATCGAGCCACAGAGATTTTACAGGAAAGAAATGGTTGGGTTGACTGCCTCTATTTGGACCTAAAAAAGAATTGACAGTTCCACATAAGAGGTTGTTCTGGAAACTGGAACATATTGGTGGGTTGACAGGTAAGCTAACATGGATGAAATGTCCTAACTGATAGAAAAAACCAGCATTGAATGTAATGAAACGCCATTTTCTGAGTGAGTCCCGGAGGCTCCCCAGAGCTTACTAGGCTGATATGCTAATGTCAGACTTTGGCATCAGTCAAGTATGAAGTTTTTGTGGGCCTACCGGGGACCACGAGCCAGAACCTGGCCCCCTCTAGAGAGGCAAGGAGAGCAATGGCCTATAGAAACCCCTAAGTAATTGGAAGCACTCTATGTCTGCCATAGACCGGGTTAGGCACCCCTGAAAGGTAGGCATCCCAAAAACCCCCATTCTGGTGAAATTCTAACCAAATCCGAACGAGTGGATAGAACTCCCCAAAACAAAAATTAGCAAACTAGTATGACGTCACCTGTCGTCGCACTGCTGTCTGCGCAGCTCCCAACTCCCCAGGAGGGGGAAGGGGTAGCCCCAGACCAACCACGCCACCGATTCACACCCCAGTTCTGAAACTATGTCAAAACAAGCGAAACAAATTGCCAACCGGAGGGAGGGAGGTATGCCTGGGAGCCTCCGGGTCTCATCCAGAAAATGGCGTTTAATTACATTCAACGCTGGTTTTCTGGGGAGAGCCCCTACGGCTTCCTGGAGCTAACTACCCACAGAGGAAAAGAATAGGGACTTGCCCAGGAGGTGGAGGAGGTTTTCAACCGAGCCTATAGCATCAGCCTCAAGAACTGGGGTGTGGATTGCCGACGCAGTAGGTCTGGGGCTACCCCTTCCCACTCTCGGGGAGGGAGGAGCTGTGCAGACAGCGGCGCGACGACGGGTGACGTCATACAGTGTACTAGTTTGCTCATTTTTGTTTGGGGAGTTCTATCCACTCATTCGGCTTTTGGTTGCAATTTTCACCAGAATAGAGGTTTGTTTTGGGACGCCTACCTTTCTGGGTGTCTAACCCAGTCGATGGCAGACATAGAATGCTTCCAATTACACGGGGGTTTCTATAGGCCATTGCGCTCCCCTTGCCTCTTTAGAGGGGGCCAGGTTCTGGCTCGTGGTCCCCGGTAGGCCCATAAGAACTCCATATACATGACTGATGCCAAAGTCTGACATTAGCATATCAGCCTAGTAAGCTCCAGGAAGCCATAGGGGCTCCCCCCAGAAATTAGGGCCCTAATCAGAGGCACTGTATCGGATTGGAGGAATGTCACAAGTGGAGTACCACAGGGTTCAGTTCTTGCACCAGTAATGTTCATTGTCTACATAAATGATCTACCAGATGGAATACACAATTATATAAACATGTTTGCTGATGAGGCTAAGATAATAGGGAAGATAAGAAACTTAGATGATTGTCATGCCCTACAAGAAGACCTGGACAAAATACGTATATGGAGCAACACTTGGCAAATGGAATTTAATGTGAATAAATGCCATGTTATGGAATGTGGAATTGGAGAACATAGACCCCACACAACCTATAAACTATGTGAGAACTCTTTTTTAAAGTACTGTATTCTGATAAGGAAAGAAATTTTAACTACACCATGAGAACTCACTCATGCCAAACATTTTATCTTATTAACAGACCGCTGCACAGTTTTTACCCCCCATGCTTATCCCTCTCTCATTCTTCATAATAAAAGAATGCATATCTACACCAAACTCAAGAGCACTCATGTACAAACATTACATATTATATTATATT